TCGGCTTGCTGTGCGAGGATATCGGCATGGCAGGTTCATGTCTCTTGGCGGCGTGGTCGTCGGCTCGTTCCATGTCACCAACGGCGTTGTCGCCGGCTGTGGTCTCGCGACCACCATGGTGCGCATCAGTGCTATCCCCGCTCTTGATGCGTTGCAGCTGCCACCAGGAATCACGCTCGACGTTTACATGGACGATTACGGTCTCAGCTGCAACGGGTCCAATGCCTACATTGTCAGGCACCTCCCTGAGGCCGCAGCCAACCTCAGGGAAGCCATCGAGGTTGATATGGGGGCGAGCATCTCTCCTGACAAAGCGTCCCTCGTTGCCTCGTCGGACGCGCTCGCCATGGAAGTCAGGGACTGTCTCGGCGGTCTCGCGGGGCCCATCGTCCAGGGGACCGTCAACTTGGGCATTGACTTTGCCCCTGGTTCATCCCGACGGCTTCCCGGTAGGGGAAAACAGTTTTCCGACCGCAGACGGGTTTTCAACAAAAAAGTCAGGGGGTTCAAGCGAGCCAAGCGGCCCCTCGGGCGGCATGCTGCCAAAGTTTTTACTGCTGCCCCCCTCCCCAGCCTCACGTTTGGGTCTGAGGTTCATGGGCTTTCGGATTTTGAATGGCACAGATTACAGGTTGCCGCCGCCAGTGCGATGCAGCCATCTGCCAAGATGAGGTCACGGACCTCTGTGCTGATTTTATCCCAGGACCCGACCTGGTACCCTGCGGTGGCGCCCATCGTCAGGTACTCCAAGGAGATCTGGGCCAACCAAACCAAGCTATTTCCCTTTGTTATCCCGTGGGCTGAGCTGAGGGGCGCTTTGGGGGGGGGGGGGGGGGGGGGGGGGGGGGCGGTTCCCCTGTGCCCAAAACCTGGCGCGGGGTCCGTGGGCCCCTGGGGGCCATGAAGTTAGCCCTGCATAGGATTTCTTGGAGCATGCCCAACTACTGTACCTTATTGGATGACTTCGGAACCGAGGTGTCACTCACAGTCACTTCCCCGGCCCTTCTTAAGAAGCTTTCGACGGCCGCTGTTCAGAGGACCCATGAGAGGTCCAGCGGCGCTGCTCTGCTCCCGCATATTCCAGGAGCTCGAGTGTGCCATGACGCGGTGGCAGCCACGCTCCGCTCCAAGAAGGGCACGCCGCGCCAGCGAGGTTTTGCCAAGGCTGTGGCTTGTAATGCCACGTGGACAAGGGCCAGAGCTGCTGAAGCAGGGTGCGCTGTTAGCACGGTCTGCGAGCTGTGTGGGGGCGCGCCCGATACCATGCTTCATCGGCTCTGGTTCTGCCCAGCGTGCCATGACACGAGGCAGGCGGTGTTTGACCGTTTCAAGCCAAAGTATTCCCGCCTGCCCCCGCCCGACCTCGCGCCCGAGAACAACGAAGAAGACCACTTACTGTTTACTCGTGGCCTCTTTCGGCACCCAGGGGATGTGTTTCCTTTCCCTGCTCGCGATGATGTAGAAGATACTGGACTTGAGATCATCTGGGCCAATGATCGTTCGTCTAGATCGCTTAAAATTTCTGGGCGTATCTTTGTCGACGGGTCCTGCACTGCGCACCCTGTTAAAGAACTCTCCAGGGCTGGGTGGGGGATAGTGATGGTAGGTGGCGACGGCGAAGAGATCTGTCGCATCAGTTGTCCCCTATGGGCCCCCAACCTCCAGACTGCCCAAGGGGGAGAGTTTGGGGCCTACGCTGTTGCTGCAATGCACGCCCTGCCAGGTAGTTCTATATACTCTGATCGTAAGAATGTGGTCGTACAAGCCAACGAGCCATTGCTCAGGGCTTTGTCCGACCAGCGTGTGTATTCAGGATTTTTGCCCCCCCACCCACCGCGAGCTTTTAGAAGGGGTTTTCAAGGTCAAGGCACATGTTGAAGAATCCAGTGACCTCACCGAGATGGAGCGGTTTTGGAAGCAAGGCAATGACCTTGCTGATGTTGTTGCCAGAAGCTCGCTTGCCCGCCACCCGCAACCCGACCCCGAGGATGTGGTATGGCTCGAGCGATGCCTCTCTATCGCCCAGTGTGTGATGCGTCTTTCTACCGAGCTGATGCCAGAGTGGCCTCGGCTCAACCTGACTGGGATCCCGCTCGCCCCCAAGCCCCCCAGGCCCGAGTTTGAGCCGAGGTCCCATCAGTGGACTCGGGTTTCTTCGTGTTGGCAGTGCATTGAATGTCTCAAGGTTGCTGAGGGCGTACCGCGGACGAACCCCGACGGCTCTCGGCCTGGAGGGCTCGACCGCCTGCCCCTGGGAAGTGCCTTAGAGATTCCAAGCTGACGTCCGCGGTGCTTACTGCCCATCAGGCACAACTTCATCGCTTTGCTATGCTCCGATGGTGCTGCCCTCACTATTTGTATGCGATGCTATGCCTATTCCTCCCATGGGCAGCCTCGCAATTTACTTAGACAGTGTGACGGCCAACCACAAAGTGCGGGTGCCAAGTCTGCCTGGAGTTCTGTGGGGGCTGGACGCCACCCCAAGCGCAAAGGCGTTTCTGTCGAGGTTGGCCCCTGGTATGAAGACTTGGAACACGAGGAGCGGCCTCGGCGTCTCACCGACCAAGAAAAGGAGCTGCGGCTAGCTAAGTTGGTGCGGAGGCTAGTCACCGCAGCAGGGGGCACATCAGTCCCAGCTGGCGTGGAGCTGGAGGTTGAGCCTCCTCCGTCAGTACATTCCCAGGGGCAGCAGCAAGGACGAGTCGTTGACCCTTCGTCCCAGCCGTCGTGCACCGTCGAAACTGCTGCCCCATCATCTCTCCCTCTTGGACCGCGCGACGCGGAAGAGGATGCAGCCTTTTCTTTGTTTGGCTTGCCTGGTGAGAGCCCCTCCCAGCAGGCCGTGCAGCAGGTGCCTGGGCCAGCCTCGTCGGCTGGAGCGTTCGGCCGAGATCGAGTTGCCTCTGTCCTCGAAGAGGACGAGGCCTCGCTCGTCGCCGCCGCTGCACCACAGTCTGATGGTTCAGACTAAGAGATGCAGCATGCGTGTTCAGCGTGCGGTGCGTCTCGCCCTGACCTCATTCTTTACTGGTCGTGGGCTTAGGGGGGCAGGCAGTGAGCCACAGGGGATCCTCCCCTCCTATGGGAAATCGCCCCGTGGCTTTCGCGCCTGCCCTCCTTTCATCGCTTCACTGCTCGCTGGCCTGGTCCAGGCCAGACAGCAGGGGGCGACGACCACAGGGCGTCGCTCTTGTTGCCACGGTTGATGTCAAATCCTCAAGGCCACGCAGAGAGGAATCCACGAACACCTCTGCAAGATGCCAATGGGAGGGGTTGGTGGCGGTGGTAGTGGTCGCGGGGTGGGGGGGCGGAAGCGCCCGACCCCCCACCCCACTGGCCCCGCCCCCCCCCTCTCCCGCCCGCCCCGACGCAGGCGCCACGCAAGAAGAAATCATTCCCACGACGCGCGCTTCGGAAGTTAGTCGTGCGACGCGGAGGCCCGCAAGACCGGCGCCCCAATATCTGATATCGACATCAGTTTCAGAGCTTCCTTTCCCGTCCCGCCGCTTCTCAGAGCGCGCTCACGTACGCCCTCTCCTTTCCCTCTCCTCGCGGGCGCTGCCGCGCGCGGGAGGAGGAGGAGAAGGAGGAGGGGGGAGGAGGAGGAGGAGGAGGAGGAGGAGGAGGAATAAGGAAGAGGAGGAGGAGGAGGAGGAGGAGGAGGAGGAGGAGGAGACGTAGAGGTGGAGGAGGGAGATGTGTTTTCTATCGGGGCCTCCAGGGGTGCCCTCCTCGCCGCGATTGGATCCGGATTGAAAGGGCGGTCAGGCGCGTACAGTGATGCTTGACCTCAGTAGTTATCTTTTCTAATTGTCGATCTCTCCCTGCCTCCTTCCCACTCCCTCCCTCTGGGATTCCCTCCCTCCTCTGGTCTCCTTTCCTCCTCCTTCTCTTCCTGCCCCCGCAGTTCCCACACTTATCGACGACGGCGAAAAACGCCGACGACATCGACGCCGACGGACAGCAGCGATGGGCAACGACGCCAGAAGACGCCGACGACGTCGATTTCGACGCCGACGACGACGACCCGTGCCGGTTCCCAGTGCAACGCGCTTGGCCAGGATTCCGATGTGGCTTTACTTGTTGCGGCGGGGCCCCCGCGGAGTCTCCAGAACGCCCCTAAGCGCCCCCAAGCCTGCATCCCAGATCCTCTCGACCGCTGCAGACGGCGGCGACAACGACGACTGGCGACGGCCGACGGCCAACGGCCGACGGCCGACGGCCGAGGGGAGGAGGAGGAGGAGGAGGAGGAGGAGGAGGAGGAGGAGGAGGAGGAGGAGGAGGAGGAGGAGGAGGAGGAGGAGGAGGAGGAGGAGGAGGAGGGAGGAGGGAGGAAGGAGGAAGGAGGAGGGAGGAGGGAGGGAGGGAGGGAGGGAGGGGAGGGAGGGAGGGAGGAGGAGGAGGAGGAGGAGGAGGAGGAGGAGGAGGAGGACGGAGGAGGAGGAGGAGGAGGTGGAGGAGGAGGAGGGAGGGAGGGAGGAGAGGCGAGGGGGAGGAGGGAGCGAGGGAGGGAGGGAAGGAGGAGGGAGGGAAGGGAAGGAGGGAGGAGGGAGGAGGAGAGGGAGGAGGGAGGAGGGAGGAGGAGGAGGGAGGAGGAGGAGGAGGAGGAGGAGGGAGGAGGGAGGAGGGAGGAGGGAGGAGGGGAGGAGGGAGGAGGGAGGAGGAGGAGGGAGGTGGGAGGAGGGAGGAGGGAGGGGGGAGGGAGGGGAGGAGGGAGGAGGGAGGAGGGAGGAGGGAGGAGGGAGGAGGGAGGGGGAGGAGGGAGGAGGGAGGAGGGAGGATGAGGGAGGAGGGGGAGGAGGAGGAGGAGGGAGGAGGTGGGAGGAGGAGGAGGAGGAGGGGAGGAGGAGAAGAAGAAGAAGAAGCATAAGCAGAAGCAGAAGAAGCAGAAGCAGAAAGCAGAAAAAAGAAGGAGGAGGAGGAGAAGAAGAAGGAGGAGGAGGAGGAAAAGGAGGAGGAGGAGGACGACGACGACCATGACCGACGCCGCCTGGGCCCAGGCGGCCAGCGGGGACGGCCTGGCGGAGGCTTCGCTGTCCTCGCTCAGGTCCGAGGGGCAGGAGCCCTCGGCGGCGGCACCTCGGTTCCTCCTCCTCCTCCTCCTGCTGCTCATCCTCCTCCTCCTCCTCCTCCTCCTCCTCCTCCTCCTCCTCCTCCTCCTCCTCCTCCTCCTCCTCCTCCCTCGGAGGTTCTCGGCCGCCCCGTGGACCCCCCGCTGGCGGCGGCGGCGGCGGCGGTCGCAGCAGCAGCAGCAGCAGCAGGATCGGCAGGAGCATCGGGATCGTGAGGATCAGCAAAGGCAGCAGGAGCAGCGTGATGAGCATCAGCCAGGAAGGAAGCATGAGGAGCAGGAGCAGGAAGGGTGCGAGCCGAGTAACACGATAGTGAGAGTGGCGACGGTGACGACGATGAGGACGACATTCGACAGACAGGAGGCGGAGCGTGAGCGGACGCAGGAGCAGAGGCAGAAGCATAAACAGGAGGAGGATGACGAGTAATACCGATACGATGATCGTGAAGGTGTGGAGGACGAGTCGGAGTGGGAGGAGGAGGAGGAGGAGAAGGAGGAGGATGAGGAGGAGGAGGTATCGGTATCGCTCCTCTGAGTCCAAAGATCGGATGGACTTGGCAGAGGTCTTGGGACCCCCCCTCATATCAAGCTCTCGGCACTCCACCACGGGAGGGCACCAGCGACGGTGCCTTTCGGCAAACGTCGGCGCACGGCCGAACTCCTGAGGCTGCTGCGCACTCAAGACACAATCAAACCTTGCCCCTCTAGCTCAAGGTAGCTAGCGGGCCTCGGGCCCGTGAAGACAGTGGTCTCTCTTTTTTTCGAAGAGTCTAGATCTGGACCACAGTGGCCTCCAGCATAGGGCCGTTGATGGCTACAGTACCATTAGCCTGCGCACTTAGAATCGAACATATCATTCGTGCGAAAGAACTTGATGAGGAGCTGGGACTGCTGGCTGCCCGCAACAAGATGATCAAGAAACTTGCGACGCACTGCCTGATGCTCAGGCGTAGCACGTTGCACCAGTGTGACCACAACCCCTGTAAACATGAAGCTGTCAGGCGCGCCCAGACCGTGCCCCTTTCTGGCCCTTGACGCGGGGAATATATTCAGTCTCGTATGCGGACTTCATAGCTTGGTAGATGGGATCGGCATCTTTGATCGTGAACTGCGTGGTGCACGCCGCCTCGAGGAGGCGATTCCTCTTGGGAATTGATGACGCCTAGCTTGAGGGCGAGGTCGGCTTTGTTCTCCGTGCTGCCGTCTTCGACGGCAATGCGCTTGCGAGCCTGGACACCTGGGTCAGCAGCGGCGGCAGCAGGCTTGGAAACCACCTGGCCGAAGGCGGCAGACCATGGTGGTTGAGACATGCTTATAGTTCGAGAATGTGTTATTATACATGTTCGTGTTCACGTAGATGCCATCGAGCCTCCGAATAGCTACTGAAAGACGCCCTGCGCATCAGACACGCGTAGTGGGGAGGAGCAACGTGATCGAATACCGTAGCAGAACCTGGGGGCCTCGGACATTTCTTATTAACCAGACTACGCAGAAGGTGTGCGCTAGCGATTCTTTGTGCAGCATACATATTCCCACACAAGATACACGCATCTGAAACAGTAACCACATGAGCAAGATCCCGAAAACCATGTTTAGGAAGCTGTGAGTTGACTTGATGAGGTAGGAGCTGGCGCCTAGTGGGGTATACAGCACTACAGATACCTCCGCCCTCCGCAAGAGTGAGACCACAGACGAAGCCAAGGGCAGGAGGGGGAGGGGGAGGCGGGGGAGGAGAGGGAGGGGGGGGCCCAGGGACACGGAGGGAGGTATCTGTTGACCTAGGTATTCATTGGCGAGAACGCGAGGATGAGTGGAGAGGAAATCGTGGCGCACGTCTTCGCCGCGAAAGATCGCAACAGGCCGCGCGCGTGCATGCTCCACTCGCGGCAGGCACTCGCCAGCGCGAAACGATCAGCAATATCAGCTCGAAACTGCGACCACCAAGTCCGAACAGGTCCCGGTCGATATCCCTCCCCGCCCAAGCTCCTGAGCTCCGTTCCCTCCCAGTAACTCTCTCCGAACAGCGCCCCGATAATTTGCAAGTTGCGGAGTGGCCGCCTCGCTATGTCTTGCAGCCGCTTCAATTTTTGCTCGCGAAGCGCGAGCGAAATAGGTGCGAGCCGCCACTGCGAGAGGACCTTCTTATTAGTCATGGCGCAGTACTGGATCTCCCCCCCTCCTCCCGATGCATACCGCTAGCCTTCCCCCTCAACAATCTGCGTGACATGGCGGCCCGCGCGCCGTCCGGCGCGCACTCACTCCTCGCAACGCGCAAGCAACCGAGCTAGACATCAGCCCGCCTTCGGCCACATAACGAAACGCGATACTCTTCCAACGCCTGTTGGAGCAACTCTGCCAGAATCACTGCAAGAGCTGACATCCCTGCCGAGCTTTCTGCACTCGCCGTGGGATTTCAGAAGCTGGGCTGCCGCTGGCCTGAAGAAGCGGCCAGACATGCCTGCAAGCACGCGCAACCTTGCCAGACATCTCTTCTCCGCCCTTCGATCTCCAGATACCCGTCTCCTCCGCGTACCTTTCTCCAAAAAGGCGACGCCGTGATGCAGTGGCACCTGTACCTCCGAGGTGCACTGAACACCCCTGCTTGCTCGAGTTGACCTGAACGTTGGCGATGCCTAGTCTGTCTTTGATGTCCTGCGCTAGTTCTGTTGAGCCTGACCACGACTTCAAGCGAGCGCGCTAGCTGAGTCCTAGCCAGATCGCCAGCGAACGCAGTCAGAGAAACACCGATCGGCTGGCGCGACCAAACACAGAGGCGGACACGATCGTGCACGCCATCAGCCAAACAATGTTTTTTTACCGAGGAACCGACACGCTAAGCCCAAGGCATTCATTACACACAACACCATCAACAGACCACTGATACGGATCCAGGAACCACATGCACGCGATAGAGTCACCAGGAAGAGTACCAAAGCCGACCCCCATCTCGACGCCGTCTGCGTTGGTGTTTGAACCAGCGTCTCGCAAACATTCTTGCACTCAGCTTTGAATTAGGATATCTCCTTCCTCCTCCGATTCTTAAGATATCCGCCCGCATAATGCCTGGGGGCTTCGTGCGACAAACAAGGATTATCTGTCCAGAGGTACTTTTAGAACGCCTTCCCGAACGGGTCTAAACTATGAACCAGGCGAAGCCCTGTAATCAGTTTTCCCGCTTGCTTTACTGCGAGTGAAAGTCTGACTGCAATGCCGAATCAGTGGCGCTTCTACATGACACCCCACAGCTAGTTAGATTGCGAACAGACAGTGCCGAATCGCCAGCACGTCCAAGCTCTCTGTCTCCGCGCCTAGGCCTGCGCGCGATTGTGGCTTAAACTCCGCAGGCCAGAACAACATGCGCCATGCGCCAGCAGGCGTGGACCGCGACGGAGGTGCACGGCAAAGCTTAGCCCGCCCAAAGAGCCCAGAGATTTTGTCCGCACACCTCGTTCGTGGCGGCTGTGGCATCTTGCAAGTCGCCTTCTCGCGGCTCACGAGCGAGAGGTTCATCTAGCGCTGCGTCGTATTTTGGGGCGCCAGCAAAAAACATGCCTCAAGAGGAAGGCAGGCCAAGTCTCGCAATCTAGATGCATGCTGGGGGTCGAGTACAGGCGCAGCTTGGGCCCGAGCGTCTTCCCATTCAGCTTGCGCGCGAATCTCCAAGCGACCGCAAAGGGCCGCTCACCCCAGGAATCTTCGAGTTCAGACACCCGCAGCCCGAGAGCGGTGTATGTCGCGTCGCGCGAAGTATCTCACAGCGCGGTCGGCGCGACGATGCAGAGCCCAATGCGTTGCAAGCTCGCGCATATCGGCGAGACACTCATGATATTGCGCGCAAACACAAACGAGCGTGCCACGAATGGCGAGAGGGAGTACATCAAGCAAGACAGAGGGCGACACAGGGGGGGGCAGAGGGAAGCGACGGCACAGGACGAGGAAGCACGGATATCGATTGCAGCCCCTCTCGATGCGCAGCAGCAGTGCATCTGTCGTGTCTTGCGGCCTCGCGACTTTTTTTGGGGCCTCGCAGGAAAAAGACTGGGCTATTGGCGTCGCTGCGTCGTGGAACTCCAGGAACATCGAGCCCGCGTCGAATGCCACCTGGCCGACAGCGCGGTTGACCTCAGTCACGAAGGCGTGCCTATCTTCTCCAAGCAGAACGGTCCGACTCAGTTTAGCGTGGCCCCACCGCGCGCGATCTTCATTCGCAGGGAAGCAAGGCCCAATCTGTAGAACGGCCAGTACAGGATAATGAACTCGACGCGTCCTCGCGTTGATGAGCTGGAGCGCCTCCCCCGTACGTCCCCAAACTCTGCATGCAGAAGCGCACCCTCCCACATCTCTCGCGCTGCAAATGTAGTCCACTCTAGCCGTTGAAAGCCCATCCCTATGGTAGTATGTTGGACTACAATCAAAGGTCCTCACCGCGCACAGGTGGTGCTCCTCCCGCGTCTCTCTCAAGTAGCCCCCGTTGGTATTCTCCTGATCGGCATTGTGTGTCCCCAGCGCCTCATTCAACTGACCGCCAACCCTAGCGTTAGCGTCCGACAGCATGGCGGGCACTGTGCGCGCAGGAAGCTCGTTGAGAAACCCCTTCTGCGGGTCCCAGAACTTCTTGCAGAACTTGACAGCAGTAGCACGACCTCTACCCCCAGGTGGTTCCACAGGGGCATATGCCACTATCATGATAACGTCCGAGGACTCTGGCTCGAGTCGTACTGCGCCGATGCGGCCCGCAAAATCTCCAGAAAACGTCCATATACGTCTAACGTGCTTGGGCGAAAAAAAGTTGTCACTCGCGAGCAGCGCCACTCCAGTTGACCTACCAGCGCTCCCTCCTCTGCGACCCTGTTGGAAGCGAAAGAATCGACCAAGCCGATCCCGAGCACAAGGAATATCAGTAACCACCTGCATTCTTGAATTGGCGTGCTGCATCTGCCCAACAGCCGGCTTGACGCATAGAGAGTGGATTCCATGTGCAACAGCGTATTTGCATGGCCGCCCGAGGCTAACACCTTGGAGGGGGCCGTGGCAGGTCAGGGACATGCCTGGGGGCCCTGATTGCCCCGGGGAAAAAAGGGTTTGCGCCGCGGGGGCTGAGGAGGAGGAGGAACAGCAGCAGCATAAATAGCACGGGGTGGCTGCACTCACCGTCCCGACGACGACGACAATCAGGGACGACGACGACGACGACGACGACGACGACGACGACGGCCAGCGACGACGACGACGAGGATGACCACGACGACGACGACGACGGCGACGACGGCCAGCGACGACGACGACGACGACGACGACGACGGCCAGCGGTGACGACAACGACGACGACGAGGTGGAGGAGATGGAGGAGGGCGAGGACTACGAGGACGACGAGGACGACGACTACGACGTCGACGACGACGAAAACGACGACCACGACCACGACCACGACCATGAGACGCCGCCGCGGAGCAGGAGCCCGACCACGGGTTCCTGCTGGACTCCGCGGCGAAGGCCCCTGTGCTCCGCGCCGCCACGCGGTTCTCGCCGCTCCCGCCGGGCACATTTCGGTCTCCGAAGCTGCCAGGACCCCTCCTCCTCCCCCTCCCCTCCCAAGCGCCTCATGACGTTCTTCGGTGTTTGGTATGTTGTTTTTTTTGCGGCGGCGGGCGGCGGCGGCTGGCGGCGGGCGGGCTCTTGTTGTTCCCCATATCATAAGGATGGGGTTCTTGTTATTACTTAGACCGCGCGGAACGCGAGAGAGAGAGAGAGAGAGAATACACACTTCCCACCCTCAACACCTCCCACCCTCAGGTCATCATTCTCTGACTCACTCACATGTGTAAACTCATTCATATTCAGACTCACTCATAGTCAGATAGATTCGTTTTTAGATTCTTGATACTCGGGTTTCTCATGCTCGGGATCACTCATATGCCGACTCACTCACACTCTTGGTACTTCCGCGCTCAGATTCACACACAAGTTGTGAGGATGTCTCAGGCGAGGCGTTGGTTTCAGTACTCCCACGGGGGGAGCGAGAGATTTGGCAAGTTGGGCTCCGGGTCCCTTAGAGATTCCTCAGGACTGAGCCCTTTTCGCTTTGTCATTGGGTGCGAAGCAATGGTAATTCTCTCGTTCGAGGCCGATTAGCGGAGCGGCGCCTCGCTCATGGGAACGAATTAATCGTATTCTTTGGTTCGAAGCTCGCTGGTTGGTTTCGAACCAAGTTAGCTTCGAACTCGCGAACTGGCGCGCCGCTGATTGGAATGAAACAGTTCGTTTGAAGCCAATGACGGAGCGACGTTCTGCTAATGGGAGCGAAGCAAGCAATGTCGGCATGTATTGAGTCCACCTAGCGGAGCGGCGCTCCGCCAATCCGACGCCGAGCGCTCCGGCAATGAGCGTCCGGGCCCGTACGAATTTTGAGGGTCGAGGACTGAGTCCCAGGGGATTGGGCAACGAACCTGCAGACACGCCCAGTCCGTGCCCAGCGGCACGGTGGCGGATTGGATGTGGTGCTGGAGAGGCGGGCGGGCGGCGGGCGGCGGGCGGGCCCAATTTGTATTATTGCAGCTTTTGAAGCGGAGGCTATGGAGTATTGGGATGCGTGTTTGGGGCGGGCGTTGTCGAGTCTTGGGCTTGGCGTTCGTGACGGAGGCTGTGGGGTACGGGGTGCGGTGTTGGAGCGGCGGTCGGCGGCGGCGACGGGAGGCGGGCGGGCTCGGGCTTTGAATGCAACTCCTAAAGGACTCGTCTTGGAAACGCAGGCTGTGGAGTACTGGGTTTCGCGTTGGAGCTGAGGCTGTGGGGTGCTCGGTGTGGCGTTGGAAGCTCCGCCGGTGCATCCTGCCACTGTGCCGAGGCCGTGGGCCGAAAAGCGTGCTGCATGCCTCGCGGGTTTTCTTGGGATGCCTCTCGGGGGTCCTTTGAAGGCTTACTGTGGGCTTCCTGCGGGTTTCCTGGGGCCTCTTGGGGGCTTCTGGAGGCTTTCTGGGGGATGCATTCGGGCCTCTCGAAGGTTTCAGAGGGGGTTTACTGGCGGTTTCGGAGGGCCTCTTGGGGGCCTCTTGGTGGGTCTTTGGGCTGCCTCTTGGGAGTTTCTCGGAGCTTCTTGGGGTTCTTTTGGAGCTCTGTTGGGGGTCTTGCGAGCCATCTTGAAGGGAAAGGCGCCGAACGCCTCCTCGCTTTCTCCATCCCAGGCTTTCTTGCGGTCGCTTTGGATGGCTCTTGGTCCATTTTGGGTGTCTATCGGGCCACTTTGGGGGTATGCCCCGAGGACATCTAGTATCTTGCACGGCTGCCGCCGCCATGGTTCAGGACGGCGCCGCCCCATTTGCTAGCGTCGCCTGCGGCGCTTGATTTGAGGCGTGGGGCGGGAGAAATGGCGTTCCTAGCGCCAGCAGGTGCGCCTCGGTGGCGCCACAAGCGGCCGCCGTTGTGTTGTGGCCAGCGTGGCGCATGCCGCCGTCTCACCTTCGGCGCGGGCGCTCGCCGCCGCAGCCTTGCAGGCGCTCACAGCAGCGCGCGCGGCGGCCGCCGCCAGCGTCATCACGGTGCGTAGCGCAGTCCCCGCAGCAGGCATGCGCGCGCGGCCCGCGGAGTTGACTTGAACCAGAACGTGTACGGAGGGGCCGGACGAGGGGAGGGCCAGAGGAGGGGAGAGAAGGATTTACTGCTGGGGACGAGGAGGAGCAGGATTTTTCCCCCCTCCCCCCGCTCCGCGTAGGCAAGCCTCTTCCTGGAGCCCAGCGCCTTCGACAACGCCACTGGCCGGCTGAAGCCGGGTCCCGCTTGCGCCGCGCGCGCTCGCCCGTCGCGCTTGCGCAAACATCAGGAGGGGAAAACCACAGACACAATTAATCGTCGATTTCCAGGAAAACATTGAAAAATATGGGAAGTGGGGGGGGAGACAAAACCAAGAAAAGATATGAAAATATGGGGAATTCAGCTATTTGTATTTTTTATCTGTGTGTCTCAGGGCCCCTTCAAAACAGATCTGTTACGTCTTCCGGCCTCCGTCCAGGGCGAGGAGGGGGAGGAGGAAGCGGAAGGGGGAATGGAGGAGGCGGAAAGGGAGGAGCACAGGGAGGAGGAGGAGGAGGAGGAGGAGGAGGAGGAGGAGGAGGATTTGAGGTAATATGGCTTTGGGGCGCCTTAGCCCCAGAAGTGGGCCCAATGTCCTGGAGTCACCACCCTGCAGGGCACGGTGGCCCGTTGGTGCGAATGGCCTGTGGTTGTGGTCCAGACTGGACGCGACCCGTTTGGGACATAGATTATGAGAATTGGGAGTAGGTTGTTTCATCGGCCACGCCGCTGGCCCGGGACAGAGATTAACAAAATTTTAGACGCTTCGCGTATCCCCACCAGCCTGAGTGGTTCAGCCTTCCGCGCTCGCGCAGCCTTGTGTTTTCCTCCGCGCTCTGCCCGGTTACACCGTACAGCCGTTCGGCGTGGGCAGGTGGCCTGGAGTCTGGCGCCGAACCGGCGACTCACTCCGCTGTCTTCGCACACTCTCCTTGCAACTCGTTTACTTCGGTCCACGCTGCTGCGCCTATGTGCGTTTGCTGGCGAATTCAGTTCATTTTGTTCTGTGCATGTGCAGCTGCGAGCTTGTTTTGCAGGTGCGAACTGGCTTGCGGACGTTGGCGGCTGTGTTCGCAAATTCGCACCGTGCCGCATCCCGGACGCCGCTCCCGCTCCCCGACCGTACTTGGAGCCGCCGACCAAAAAAAGGATCCCCACCGGCCCATCCACAAACGACTGCCGGCGCCTGAGAAAAAGGGAGCCGGGGCAGCTGGGGAGACGCAAGGGCGCGCGGGGCTGCGGCTTTGCTGCTGGGCTTCGCCCTTGAGGCAACTGCCTCGCAACGATGGCAATCGCGCAGAATGCGCGCGTGCATAAGGGCCGGCTCGAGACGCGAGAGCGCGCGGGGCCGCCGATCTTGCCCTGGGCCTCGTCCTTGAAGCCGTTGCCTCGCGACGCGCGCGAGAAGTTTTTGCGGGCGTGCGAAAGTCTGGATTTCCGCTGGACCGCAGCCGAGATGAGATGGGCCGCGGTTGCGGGCGGACGCGACAGCGCGCGGGACCGCTGGCCTTGCCACTGGAAGGCGCCCTTGAGGCAAGCGCCTCGCGACGGGCGCGGGCGCCGCCGGGCAGCGCCCGAAACAAGACGACTTGCGGTAGCGCGAGCGACGAGATGGCGCGCGGGGCCGCTGGCCCTGCCGCCGGGCCGCGACTGTGGCATTTTCCTCGCGACGGGGGTGAGCGCGCAGAATCCATGGATGCGCGAAAGCTAGAGTTGCCACCAGCCAGGGCACAGATGGAGACGATCCGCGGCGACCAGGCTTTGTCATTGAGGCATTTGCCTCGCGACGGGGGCAAGCGCGCGGAAACTGCGGGCGCGCGCAAGAGCGCGCCGGGGCGCCGGCCTTGCCGCCTGGCTGCGTCCTCGAGGCTGCAGCCCCGCGACGGTGATAAGCGCGCAAAATCTGCGGACGCGCGAAAGTTAGCAATGCCGCCAGCCAGCGACCAGAAAGAGACGAACTATAGTGTCCAGGGAAACGGGAGAGGGCGCAGGACCGCCTTCCTTGTCGCCGGGCTGCGCCCTTGGCGCAACAAGCGCGCGGGCGGGCTCGCGAATGCCAGCATTTCCGCCGGCCAGCGCCGAAGAGGAAATGGACTGCGGCAGCGGACGCACGCAATCGCGCGCAGGGGCGCTGGCCTTGCCGCGGGGCTGTCCTTGAGGCATGTGCCCCGCGACGGGGGTAAGCGCGCAGAACTTGCGGGCGCGCGCAGGGGCGCGAAGGGCCGCGGGCCTTGCCGCCAGACCGCGCCATTGAGACAGCCGCATCGCGACAGCGATAAGTGCGCATAGCTTGCGGGTGCGCGACAGCTGGCATTGCCGCCAGCAGGTAACCAAAAGGAGACGAACCAGGGAATCCAGGAAAACGTTGGATCGCGCAGGGCCGCTGGCCTTGCTGCTGGGCTGTGCCCGTGAGGCATCTGCCTCGCGACGGGGGCAAACGCGCAGAATCAGCGGGCGCGCCCTTAAGCCGGCATGCCCCCCAGAGTGAGCAGTGCTGCCGGCCTTGCCGCCTGGCTGCGTCGTTGAGGCAGTTGCCTCGCGACGGGAGCTAGCGCGCAGAATCTGTGGATGTACTAGAGCTAGCGTGCCGCCAGCCAGCGTCCAAACGAATACGGAACGCGGTAAGCGGAGAGGCGTGATAATGCGCATGGCCGCTGGCCTTGCCGTCAGCCGGGCTGCGTCTTGGAGGCGCCTGCCTTGCTACAGAGGGGGCGCGCGTACATTCTGGATGCGCGAAAATCGCCATAGCGGCCAGCCAGCCCCTTCAAGGATACGAACCGTGGTAACCAGAGAGAAGTGAAAGTGCACTGGATTGCCAGCCTTGCCGCCCGGCTGTGTGAAAAGGGTAAGGAGGATGAGGGGGAGGAGTAGAACAGGAGGAGGAGGAACAGGAGGAGGAGGAGGAAAAAGGACGAGGAGAAGGAGGAAGAGGAGGACGAGGACGAGAACGAGGACGAGGAGGACGAGGACGAGGACGAGGAGGACGAGGACGAGGACGAGGAAAAGGGGGAGGGGCAGGGAGGGAGGAGCAGGAGGAAAAGTACGAGGATGATGATGATGAGGAGGAGGAGGACGAGGACGAGGAGGAGGAGGACGAGGACGAGGAGGACGAGGACGAAGATGAGGAGGAGGAGGACGAGGAGGAGGAGGAGGAAGAGGTCGAGGAGGAGGAGGAGGAGGAAGAAGAGGAGCAGGAGCAGGAGGAGGAGGAAGAGGAGGAGGAGGAGGAGGACGAGGAGGAGGAAAAGGGGGAGGGGGAGGGGGGGAGGAGGAGAGGAGGAGGAGGAGGAGGAGGAGGAGGAGGAGAGGAGGAGGAGGAGGAGGAGCAGTTGGAGGAGGAGGAGGACGAGGAGGAGGAGGAGGAGGAGGAAGAGGACGTGGAAGAGGAGGAGGAAGAGGAGGAAGAGGAGCAGGCGGAAGAGGGAGGAGTAAACGGATTAGGAGGGGACCAGGGAAGAAGGGGAGAGGGAAGGAGGAAAAACGACGGAGGATGAGGAAGCACAGGAGGAAAAACATATGATGCAGCGGAAGGCGACATCCGCCTCCCTTCCGTCTCCCCCGCCTTCCTTCAATCGCATCGTCGCTTCTCCTTTTCCACCCCCCTCCCCTCTCATCCGTCTCCTTTCCATGTTCCATCATCAGTTCTTCTGTCTACGTGAGGACGAGCCGGATGAGGAGGACGAGGAGGGAGAGGACCGAAGACAGTGGACGCCTAGTTACAGCAGCCGTCCCGCGTGTGCAAAACGTGCCGAACCAGGTCACAAGCTTGTGAATGTTGTGTTAAAGTACATGTTGTTGGCCAGGCTCCTGCCACTTGTCCTGTAATGACCAAATTGCAACGTAGGAGGCGAGGCAGGAGGAGGAGGAGGAGGACAGCGAAAACGCCCTCTCCTCCCCAGTCCTCCGCATCCGCTTCCTAGTTTACCTCACTCCCGTCTCCTTCCTTCCCACCCGTCGGTGCGGAGCGAGGTCTGACACACGGGCTGAAGTGGTTGCAGCTCGACTGTGACCCACCTGCTTCCCCCTTCCCCTCGTTTCCATCCTTCCCCCTCCCCGCCCCTGGGTCTCAAAACTCTGACCTCACAACTCAAACACCCGGCTTTCCACCTACACCTCCACCTATCGACCTACAGCGTCTACCAGCTCCGCACTCCGACCTCAGGCCTAAACCATCCGACTTTCCACCTCCACCTCCACCTTTCGACCTCCAGCGTCCACCAGCTCCGCACTCGGACCTCCAGCCTCAGACATTCGACTTTCCACCTCCTCTTCCACCCTTTGACCTCCAGCGTCCTCCAGCTCAGCACTCCGACCTCCAGCCGTAGACATCCGACTTTCCACCTCCACGTCCACCTATCGACTCCCAGCGTCCACCAGCTCAGCACTTCGACCTCCAACCTTCAGCATCCGACTTTCTACCTCCACCTCCACCTATCGACCTACAGCCTCCAACAGCTCAGCACTCCCACCTCCAGCCTCCAGCATCCGATTTTCCACCTCCACCTCCACCTATCGACTCCCACCGTCCACCAGCCCAGCACTCCGACCTCCAGACTCCAGCATCTGACTTTCCAGCTCCACCTCCACCTATCGACCTTCTCCGTCCACAAGCTCAGCACTCCGACCGCCAGCCTCCAGCATCGGAACCGCGACCTATCGATTCCCAGCGTCCACCAGCTCAGCACTCCGACCTCCAGCCTCAGACAGCAGACTTTCCACCGCCACTTCTACCTGTCGACCTCCAACGTCTACCAGCTCCGCACTCGGACCTCCAGCCTCAGACATCCGACTTTCCACCTCCACTTCCACCCTTTGACCTCCAGCGTCCACCAGCTCATCACTCCGACCTCTAGCCTCAGACATCCGACTTTCCACCTCCACCTATCGACTCCCAGCGTCCACCAGCTCAGCATTTCGATCTCCAGCCGTAGACATCCGACTTTCCAGCTCCACCTCCACCTATCGACTCCCAGCTCCCACCAGCTCAGCACTCCCACCTCCAGCCTCCAGCAACCGACTTTCCACCTCTACCCCCACCCATCGAACTACAGCCTCCACTAGCTCAGCACTCTGACCCCCAGCCCCCAGCATCCGACTTTCCACCTCCACCTCCATTTAACAACTACAAGACTGCCACCAAGATCTCGACAGTCACAACGCCGACGATGGACGCATCCCGATGACCATCATTCACAAAAATG